GAAAGAGATTATTTAAGTATCGAATGCCTCCTAGGAAGGGTGCTATTTGAAGATGGCAGCCTTTTCTTGAACCAGGGATTTGCAGTGAATTGTGTTCACATCTGGTGAGGTCCTGGTTTCCAGTTTGACTTTGGGCACAAACTGATACAGATTAGGCTTGACTAAAGTTGTAAAATATATTAAATCTTTTTTTTTTTTTTTTTTTTGGAGAGGTTTTTGCTATAGGGCGCATGCGCTCACCAGCCAGCCAGAGAGAGATAGAGAGACAGAAAGCGAGAAATCCCCCCCCAGGGGGGATGGCCACGCTGCAATCCCTTCTCCTCCATTCTCCTCTCAGGATCTTGGGCACGCACGCACACGCACCTGGTGTGAGTTTTAAGCCACCGGGTCCAGGGCGGGAACCACAGTCGACTACATGGGAGTCCAGCAACACAGCCATTACACTAACTGCTGGTCCCGTTAAATCTTTCTTTTTTAAGATTTTTTTTTAACTTTATTTATTTATTTTTAAAATTTTGACCAGAGTGAGAGAGAGAGGAAAAGTGAGAAAGGAAGCTGCCAGATCTGCCACTGCAACCGTAGTTGCCCATGTGGGAGTCCAACACCCTTAACCACCACGCCACCTGCCAGCTGCAAAATATACTAAATCTTGACATAAATTTGCAAGCAAGAGAAAAGTAGAAAATGGTTTATGAATTCATCAAGATGTTAGCAGACAGACTGAACGTAAAGAAGGGACTTCCCATCCTAGTGGCTTGAAAAATATGCTGGGCGTATTTATGTACATGCCCCGAATCCTGACGGGATGGAGGAGAATGGATTGTGGTGTGACCACACCCCAGGGTGGTGAAATGTATTTGGGGATGCTCGCTTGCTCTCTGATTTACCTTTGGTAATAAAAAAATGAATAAATAAAAATAATAGAAGAGGTAAATTAATTACTTCTGTACCTGGGGTTATTTCATAGGAAAATGAAAATGAAATAATCTGTCTCTCCTTTCTTAACTTTTGTTTTTAATCTTTAGAATTACTCTCAGGTGACTTGTAGTCTCTTGGGAAGACAGAATATAAATGAAACAAGTACAAGACCTTGAGACAGGTCCCGCATCCGTTAGGAATCCAGAGCAAACATGCAGGAAGAGATGGAAGAGCTGAGCCAGTGGCTGAGGTGCCAGGTTGTAGCTGGTCTCCACACAGTGCTGGTTTTTGGGTTTGCCCCCCCAAAAAACGCCAGAGAACTTGTCCACTTGCTGGAAAGAGGGAGAGAGAGAAAGCACTCCGTCCCCCCAGTAAGTAGAGCGTGGTCACGCTGCAGTCCTTTCATCTCTTCCTTTCAGGATTCTGGGCATGTGTGCACATGGCACCCAGCATGCTTTTCAGGCTGCTGGGGCTGCAATTTGAACTGCAGCGGACCATGTAGGATCCAGCTCCCTTAACTACAAGGCCACAGGGTCAGCCCCACAGTACTGTTCTGTTTTTTTGTTTGTTTTTTTCTCTCTCCCTTTTTTTTTTTTTTTTTTTTTTTTTTTTGAGAGAGGTTTTGCTATAGGGCACATGCACTTGCCAGAAAGAGAGACAGAAAGCAAGAAATCACCCCCTGGGGGGATGGCCATGCCATAATCCCCTCTCCATTCTCCTCTCAGGATCTTGGGCATGCACACACACGTGCCCGGCGTGAGTTTAAGTCACTGGGTCCAGGACTCTAACCGCGGTCAACTGCATGGGAGTCCAGTGACATAGCCATTACGCTAACTGCTGGTCCCGTTACTATTTTGATCACATGTTCCTGTTGTATACAGAATTATATTGAACATATTTCCACTTTACATAGATGACTGTTGTTTTGCTCTCATTATTAGTTTTCAGTGTACTGCTCTTGCAAAAGAAAAAAGAGCAAAGTAAAGCATTTAACAAACACAGAAGTGGAAAATTATGTGTGCTGCAAAGATGTTTAGCAATTAAATGTAAAGAAAACAGTAAGATAATCTAAATAAAATTTTTTAAGATAAAGAAGGGAATGGAAAATCACTAGATGATTTTGTGGGTCTGAGTACAGCTTCGTTGGTGTCTGTGTAGGCTGTTAGCCCGGTTCAGTGACTGCGGTGTGTCCCTGCTGAGAGCTCTCCAGTGGGTGAAGGCAGCCCCGTCGCCCTCCCATCGTAGAGGCTTCTGTTTATGAGTTCAGTACATTTAAGTCTTGCATTTGGAATTTAAATTTCTTATGCTTTCTAAACTGAAAAGCGTTCAGGGGCTGGTCCCATGGCCAAGTGGTTAGAGGAACCAGATCACACATGGTAAACCGCGTGGTTCGAATCTCAGCCTAGTGGCTTGAGAAACACAGCAGGCACATGTACATGTGTGCCCAGGATCCTGACAGAACCAAGGTGGAGGGGAGGGGATTGGGCCGGGCCGGGCCAGGCCCCATCAAGGTTCTCCCCCTCTGTTCGTCTTTCTCTGGCAAGCACATTCACCCTCAGGCAGACTTAGAAGCTTCTTTTTTTTAGTTCCTAATATTCCCTTTATGTACCCCCGTGGATTGTCTTACCCTTTTTGGTTAGAGAACATTCTTTAGATGACGCGGTTTGCCACTGTGTATCGTTAAGGATTAGTTTGGTTGTAAAGATGTGAAACAGTAACAGGAGCTAGAACTACCACCCTAAGGAGGCAGTGATTTATTTTTCATTTCTATAAAAAAAAGTGTGGAAGTAGGCAGTGGGGCTGAGAGGGCGGCTCCCGGGACCATCCAGCTCCGGGCCCAGACTCCCTGTACCTTTTGTCCCTCTGCCCCACATTTCAGGATGCGGGAGTCCAGGTTCAGGCAGCAGGAAAGGAGGAAGGGCTGAAAAGGGCATGTGACTTCACTTTAAGGGAGACTTCTGCAAGTCCCGAAACGGCTGTGATTCACACCTCGAGTGCTGAAAGTGGGTATGGGCGTCTCTGTCCGGGAGGCTGGGACGTGCAGTCCGCACTCCTTGTGCTGTCCGGGAGCGAATGCTGAGAACTGCTAGTTGACCATTGGTGCTGCCACATGGAAGGAGTCTTGTCTCTTGGTGGTGGGCGTGGTAGTCACAGCTTTACGAATTGTAACCCACATGCCTTACGGTTGACCCCTATGGGTGAGTTGTGCATACCCAGAGCAAGATGGCAGTGGAGTCGGACGTAACGGCAGTCTGTAGCTTATGCATGGAGTTGCACAGCCATGTCCATAATAGTTTTGGGAAGACACCATCGTATCCGAAAGAGAGCTCTCTCTGCCATTGGTAGTTGGTCCCCGTTGCCTCTGGCTTAGGCAGCCATTAATCTACTTTCTGTCTTAGACTGATCTGTTCTGGACACTTCATATAAATGGAATTATACAAGTCGTTTTTCTTCATAACTGGTTTCTTTCACTTCCATAATGTTTTTAAGGTCCAGCTGTGTTATAGTATATATCAGTAATTTATTTTTCTTTATTGCTGAACAGTATTTCATTGTATGGATATACATTTTCAAAAATTGCCAGACAGTGCATACACAGCAGAGAGAGGGAGAGAGGATTATTATTGGGGTTTTTTTTTTTTTTTTTTTTTGGTTTGTTTATAAGAATGTTTTTTGGGGCCAGCAGGTGGCATGGTGGTTAAGGGCACTGGACTCCCACATGGCCGACTGCGGTTAGAGTTCTGGACCTGGAGTCTTGATTTCCTACCCCACCCCCCTTAGTCCCTCTCTGCTCAAATTTAAATAATTAAATAAATAAAGTTACATTTTAAAAATTTTTTAAATTTTTTAATGTATTCTAAATTGTAGTTCCTCATCAGATGTTACCAATATTTTCTCCTATGGGTTGTCCTTTTTGTTTTTCTTCATTTTTTAAAATTGTCTTCTTATGTGATAGAGCACATGTGTACGCACGAGAGAAGGAGAGCCGGCGCCCACTGGGTCTGGCAGTGCCGTGGCCCCTCCCGCACTCCTAGGCTGCAGATCTTGGGCATCTGCACACGTCCGTCAGGTTTCAGGTGCACGGGCTGGGGGCTCAAGCCACAGTTACCATTGGGAATCCAGGTTCTCTTCAGCAGCACATTACTGCTGTGCTATGGAACCAGCCCCCCAAAATTGATTTTTTTAATGTCTATCTTATATCCCATAATCTTACTGGCTTATTCTAATTCTTAATGGATCAATAAAATTCCTCACATGTAAAATCATGCCATATACTAGTTGATAGTTTTACCTTTTTAAAATAATTAATTAATATAATTTATTACTTCTACTATTATTATTATTATATTTAATTTGATCAGAGAGAGAAAGGGAAAGTGAGAAAGCAAGTCGGCAGGTCTGAGATCCAAATTGCGGTCAGCCACGTGGGACTCCAGCACCCCAACCACCATGTACCCGCTGGCCCGTGTTTCCTTTATAATCTGGGTAGCCTTTTTTTTTTTTTCTTAATCTAATTGTGCTGGCTAGGTCTCCCAGTGGCATGTTGGATAGTAGTGGCGAAGACGGGGACCAGCCGATGGCATAGCGGTTATGTCACTGGACTCGCACACAGACGACTATGGTTTGGGTCCCGGACTCAGTGGCTTCAAAAATCATGCTGGGCATGTGTGCGTGCATGTCCCAGATCTCAAGGAGGAGAAAGGATTATGGCGTGGCCATCCGCTCTCGGGGGGTGATTTCTCATTTTCCCTCTCACTCACTATGTCTGTGTGTCTGTGTGTGTGTGTCCCCACAGCAGCAAGTGCATGCGCCCTAAGGTAAAAGCCTCTAAAAAAAAAATGAAAAGTGGTGAGACAACATCTTTATCTTGCGCCTGATCTTCAAGGGAGGCCTTTGGTCTCCTCATCATCAGTCTAGCGTCCGTGGAGTTTTTGGTGCTAGTGGGACAGGATCACAAATTTTGAATTTGGATATGCTGGTAGAGATACGTGCCCTATGGTCACAGAAAAGGCTCTGTTATAGCTTGAGACTGTTTATGGCTCCTTATGATTCCAGATAGCACTTTCTGCTTTGCATTTCAGAGATGGCTGCCATCCGGAAGAAACTGGTGATTGTTGGTGATGGAGCCTGTGGCAAGACGTGCTTGCTCATAGTCTTCAGCAAGGACCAGTTCCCAGAGGTGTATGTGCCCACGGTGTTCGAGAACTACGTGGCAGACATCGAGGTGGACGGGAAGCAGGTGAGCGCCCTTCCCCGACAGCCGGTGCCATTTTGCTGTGCAGTCCACAGCGTGATCGAAATGCCTCTGCCGTCTCCGTCCAGCTCTGTTCACCTGTCACTGCTGTCACCTCGACTTTGTCCACATTCGTGTGTGTGTACGTGGGGGAGCCTTGGTCTCTCTGCTCTTTCTATAGTTATAGTAGAAACTTAGTTTGTCGCCAAATGGATACTGTTCATGTGAATATCTTTGTATTGATGAGCTTTAAAAAAAAATGGTCAGAGTATTTTATCAAGCACGAGAGAACGCAAGAGGTCCTTATCAATTCTGCTCTTCAAAGGGCTGTACTGATCTGAGACCACCAGCACTGTGACACTTAAACAACATCCTCACTTACGCTGAATTTTAAAAAGTCTTTGACTTCAGCATAAAGCAGCTGCCACAGCTGTTTCGTCTTCCTGTCATTTTGTGGGGGAGGACAGTTCTTCCCACGCCTGCTCTGAGAGCCCTCTGGCAAGACAGGGGCAAAAGCTCTTGCAGAACTGGAGTTTGGGGTTTTAGTGTGTTTTGGTTTTGGGAGGTAGTGGTTCAGCTTCTGCTCCCTTTTCTTGTCAAATAATGCCTTACCCAGCCTCCTGTACGGTTTTTTGTAGGAATGACATTCTGATTGTAAATGGGTCACAGTGGGAGTGGAGGGGGAGAAACAGCTAGAACAGGTGCTCCTCAGTCGGCCCGCTCTGGCAGGCAGTGTCTCATTCTGGCGACACGTGCTGTGTTCGCCTCCATAATGCCATCCCCTTTCTCCCTTTCCTGCTTCACCTACCATCTGTTTCTGTCCCAGAGCCCCAGTTCATGGGTCATTTGTGTGGAGAATGGTTTGGCCACTGGCTGCTCAGAATTTCCAGGGTCCTTACTGTAGGGCCTCCTGGTGGTTCTGGACCGTGAGTCAGCTGCCTGGCCTTTGAGACTTCGTCTGTAGATGGTGTGAGCTGTCTTGCAGCCGGCATCAGGGTGCAAAGTAACTGAAGGGTTTTAGAAACACCAAGCGCTACATTGTGCGCAAGGACACTGTGCTCAGAACCCGCCATGGCCTGTCGTCCATGTTAGCCACGTGCCACAATGATTGCTCTCATGCCATTAGGGACCCCAAGGCGCTTTCTAGGCCAGGTGTAGATGGGGAGTGCAGTAAGTTCCAGCCTGACATAGCTCTGGGTCTCACGCTGCAGGCCCAAGTCCAGAGTGTTGCTAATTCAGCCTGCGGTCTCTGCATGGACGGTGGATATATGGGTAGATGTTTCTGGGGCTCTGATTGGAAGGCAGGTATGAGATGGACACAGGGCCCAGTTGGGTCATGGTGGGTGGACGTGTGCTGAGGTCTCTGGGGCCTTTGTCATTCCCAACCTCATACCCACCTTGAATTGCTCTGCCCTGCATGGAAATTCCGGGGCCTCGTGGAGGGAAGCAGGGTCAGGTGGGTGTTTTCATACCTCGTCTATGAGAAGCCTAGTGGGTGTATGCACTGGATTTACCCTGCCATTTGCACCAGCAAGAGTAGCTGTCGGTGGCTGCAGTCTGTGAATCTGCAGGGAGGCCCTTTTCCAACAGCGGCAGTCCTTGTTTTCCTTTTCCTTTTTGAAACATTAGTCTGTGCCTGGGCTCCTTGGAGCAACCAGAATATTGCTTACAGGGAATTTAGACTTAAGACTGAGGAATGGTCCGTGAATACCTTGTGCCTCCAGCCTTGAACGTGGCTGACACTGGCAAGCCCTTGACACAGGGAGAGTCCCCTGAAATGAAAGTACTCGGTCTGGAGTGGGGTGTCATGGCTGGCCTGCTTCAGAGCAACTTGGGATGCCCCCAGGTGGGAGAGGATGCCCCCCGGGAATGTTCGTGTGACAGTGTGCACTGGTAGAGCCTGCGGGGCCATGTGGAATGGTAAGTGATTTTGGGGCCCAGCAGTAGGACTGCCCAATGAAAAGGCCCTTCTGACGGGAGACAGACCCAGCACCTTGAAAGCATTTGTCAGGAGCCGACCCGGGTGTTTCTGACTGAACCCCATGGGGTGTCAGAGAGCCAGGAGAGTGGGATTAGGCAGGGAGTGGGTGAGCTCTGCCACGCTGAGTCAGACGGGCCATGGAGACTGGGCACCAGTAACGCGTTAGCTGTGTGTGCCAGGCCACTGGTTCACACGACAGAAGGGCGTGGCTTTGCAGGTGCTCTGAGCGATCGATGCATCCTGGGGCAGAAGCTAAGGGAGGGAGAAGTATTTAGAAACTGGAATTTGGGCTGTGACGGTGCTGGGAAAAGAAGCACCCCAGGGCCTACTGGACTTCTAAGCAGAGGACGTCAAGCTCACCATCTGGTTGTTGGGAGGGGTGACAGCTGACTGCATTGCTGGGTACCTCGGAAGGTCCTGTCAGCTCGGGCCTTGCCTAACTCCCAGCTTGGTGTATCTCCTTACCCCCAGGAGACAGGCTTGTTTCCATGTTTCCCCACTGGAGCGGAATCATGAGGCGAATTAAGGACGTGGGAGAGCGCGCTCAGAGCTCTCGGGGCTCTCGGAGCGCGGCTCTGTCTTGCCTGTGCACATGGTGGACTGTTAATTCATTCCCCTCTCCATTTATGTCTCTCCAGAGTAGAATGTTATTTATAGCTAAATACTTCTTATAAGCCACAAAGTTATTTTCAACTTGGTATTTTGAATTATTCCACTTTGTTCAGTGTTAGTATCTGTTACTAAAATTTGCAACTTTGAGAAGTTTCCACCTCACGCAGTTGAAACACACCCTCCACATTCAGACTTGATTCTCAAAAAAGTGACTACTCCTGTGTCTTCCTGTTTTGAACAGTCTGCCATGTGGATGTATTGGGTTGTCGCTTTCTTTCTGAAGCGTGTAGTGGGACTCACCTTGCGTCCTCTGCTGGTCTGTTTCTCTCCTCACAGGTAGAGTTGGCTTTATGGGACACAGCTGGGCAGGAAGATTACGATCGCCTGAGGCCCCTGTCCTACCCAGACACCGACGTGATACTGATGTGCTTCTCTATCGACAGCCCTGATAGCTTAGGTGAGTGCCCTGCAGCCTGACCGTTGTCACTGCCCGTATGCATGGGCTGAGGTCTGCTTTCTTAGACCCTTGCAGCCATGAAGTGGATGAAGCTGCAAAGGCAGCATCTCCACAATGTAGCTAGGGCTCTCAGACTTCCTGAGTTGGATTTTCATGTATTCCCACGTTCTGTGCACTGTTCTTTCAGAAAACATCCCAGAGAAGTGGACTCCGGAAGTCAAGCATTTCTGTCCCAACGTGCCCATCATCCTGGTTGGGAACAAGAAGGACCTTCGGAATGACGAGCACACACGGCGGGAGCTGGCCAAGATGAAGCAGGCATGGCTGGGGGCAGGGTGTTTTCCGGTGCATTCTCGAACAGGGTGCCACGGCCGGATGTTCAGGGGGACAAGCAGAAGTCCTCTGTCCATCCAGCAGGGACCAATACAGAGGGCCCTAACGATACCTTACCCCTGTGAGACAGATTGTCCTTTATGAGCTGGTACTGTGTCCCCAGAGACTGCTGGGCTGAGAAGGAGCCACCTCAGCAGTAGTCGGTGCTTTGGATGCAGGAATTTGATCAGGCTCTTGATTTCCCTGTCCACTTTACCTCGGGACACATGAGGCCAAAATTAGTGACCTCTGGCCGAAGGCAGGAGTCCAGACAGAGCCCTAGTGCCGTTAGAAGTGATGATGGAGGCAGCATCTTGGCCTCTCAGAAGCTGTGGAGGTCTTCAACCCTTCTCTCCCCCTAGGGTCTCTGTGTCCAAATGTCTAGGACAGCCTCTGTTCCCTCTCTTGGGCTTCTGGTCCTCCAGGAAGGACCTCTCCAGGAAGACTCAAGGGCCAGCCCTGGATTCCTTCCTCAACCTTCCAGGCTTTTCTGGCCTCTTCCTCTCTCTCTCTTTCTCTCTCTCCCCTTCCCAAGAAGAGCATGTTTAATAATAGACTTTTTAGGGGTGTGTAGTCCCCATTGGTCATTTTTAGAATTTCATAAGACGAAGTTCCAATCTGGGGGTTTGACAGCTTTTCCCAAAATTTCTTTGGCTGGATTTGAATACAGCCGCTTCCTGTGTGCCTGCAACGCTGCTAACCAGGAGCGCTCTTTTCTCTTTGCCAGGAGCCGGTAAAACCTGAAGAGGGCAGAGATATGGCAAACAGGATTGGCGCTTTTGGGTACATGGAGTGTTCAGCAAAGACCAAAGATGGAGTGAGGGAGGTTTTCGAAATGGCCACGAGAGCAGCTCTGCAAGCCAGACGTGGGAAGAAGAAATCTGGGTGCCTTGTCTTGTGAAAGCTTGCTCCAAGCACAGCCCTTACGCGGTTAATTTGGAAGTGCTGTTTATTAATCTTAGTGTATGATTACTGGCCTTTTTTCATTTATCTATAATTTACCTAAGATTACAAATCAGAAGTCATCTTGCTACCAGTATTTAGAAGCCAACCATGATTATTAATGATGTCCCACCCGTCTGACCCTGCTTGGGTAGAGTCAGCCGGGGTCCCCAACACCGCTCTAACAGCCCTCCTCTGCGCTCCCACCTGACAAGCCAGGCGCTAATTCAAGGATTTCTTAACTTCTTGCTTCTTTCTAGAAAGAGAAACCGTTGGTAACTTTTGTGAATTAGGCTGTAACTACTTTCTAACTAACATGTCCTGCCTGTCGCCTGCCAGCTGCAACGGCTCTGCTGAGTCTCCACTTCAGAGCTTTGCCCCAGAGAGCTGGGAAGCTCGGGGGCTTTGCTCTGCGGGGGCTGGAGGCCTCCGTTCTAGGGCTTGGCCCACCAGTTCAGCCAGAATGGCCGAGCGGAGCTGCAGCTGTGGCAGTTACAGTCCCTGTGGTTCCATGTTAGTTACCTTATAGTTACTGTGTAATTAGTGCCACTTATGTATGTTACCAAAAATAAATATATCTACCCCAGGACTAGATGGAGTATTTTTTGTATAATTGGATTTCCTAATGCTGATATTTGTCATCCCCAAAGAAAGTGTATTGGTTTTTTAAAAAAAAGAAAGTGTATTTGGAAATAAAGTCAGATGGAAAATTCATTTTTAAAATTCCCTTTTTGTCACTTTCTCTGATACAAGGTGGCCATGCTGTCCCATTTCGGCCCCACTACCCCAGGACCCCTCTCCAGAGCTGGGCTGAGCACACAGGAGTTGGTTTCACGTCTGAGGCAGTTAGACGCTGGGGCAGGGGGCCCCGTCAGCCGAACTGCAGGGCCTGGCTCTAGTGCACAGCGCTGTCCTCCCTGTCCCCAGGTTCCCTCCAGAGGAGCCACCGTTCTCGTGGTGGCACTCATTTCTCTCCTCTCTCCAGCTGACTAAACTTTTTTTCTGTACCAGTTAATTTTTCCAACTATTAATAGAATAAAGGCAGTTTTCTAAACTTCCTGTATCCTGGTGTTTGTGTTGCTGTCTCCCGGGCTGGGCCGAGGATGCCCCGCCCAGCTCACCCTGCCGAAGTTCCTCCCGCGTCTAAAGTACCAGCTTGGGGCCACCTCTCCCCCTCTCATCCCTCCCCCTCCTCCGCGCATCCTGCGCCAGCCAGTCAGCCTGGGTCCTCCCAGAACCCCAGGGGATTATCCTGTGCCATGTGGGCGGTTAGCCTGTGCTGCAGTCAAGTTGCAAAAGGGGGTGGTGGGGATGCAGACTCCGGGCACTCCCGACTGGGTTTCTTGGGCCTGGAGGGTTGTTGGGATCCACTCCGGAAGGTTGGGGCCAGACCATGTGGCCCCAACCCGCTCTCCAGGACACTAATTAGAAATCCTGCCTAGGGGCAGTGCCCCGCTGGGACAGAAAGGTAGGGAGACCAGAGGCCAGGATGAGAGTGCCGGGCAGCCCGAGTAGAGAGCTCGCTGTTTGGAACCCGAAGCCTGGCACTGCCCACCCTCCGATTGCCCTTCCTAGAACCCCACGGAGCCACGCTGTCGTTCCCCACCGCGCCATCAACACGAGCCCTCACTCTGCACCTGGCGACAACTGGGCGTGCACAGGCGGGGGTAGCGCGCCACCGGACAGAGGGCT